ACTTTACATTCAATTGGGAAGATCAACAAGGGTATTGGGGAATATAAATTCCTACCCCCGTTAAACTTTACATTCAATTGGGAAGATCAACAAGGGGATTAGGGAATATAAATTCCCACCCCCTTTACACTTTACATTCAATTGTGAAGATCAACAAGGGGATTAGGAATATAAATTCCCACCCGCGTTAAACTTTATATTCAATTGGGAAGATCAACAAGGGCATTAGGGAATAATGTCAAGTGAGGATTAATAATGCCCTCCCGATTAATCAACAGCAACTGCCCAAAAAAATATATAATTTAAAAACAGGTGGTCTCCCCAGATTAATAAATTTTTTGGCCTACCCCCGATTGATCAACAACCACTTCGGAAATCCATTTTTTTATCCAACATTTTTTATTTCCAATTCTATTTATTTCCAATTGTTTTTTTACCTTTTTTTTAATCATCATTGTTACTTCAGGTTTAAGTTGATCATTGAAAATTTCAAAAAACAACTATTCCCCAAATGATCGATTTCTAATTAAAATATTTATAAAAAACATCAATTTGGATAGCTCCCAAAGGGTACCCCCCATGAGCCCATGTCCCCCAGTAATAATAACCATGGTTTGCCCCTGATTAATCAACCACCTTTCTGATCCATGAAATTTTAACAAATCCAATGGAATTCTATTAAGATCTAATTGACGTAAGCCATATCCAAAGTTTTATGGTTCAGAGTTGCTTATTATTAAGCGGCGATCAAGAAAACCAGTCAGAAGGTACCTCCCTACCTTCTGGGGGGGGTTATTAATCCGGTGTTGGCATTATAAATTCCCACCCCCGTCAAACTTTAAATTCAATTGGGAAGATCAACAAGGGGGTTAGGAATATAAATTTCCACCCGCGTTAAACTTTACATTCAATTGGGAAGATCAACAAGGGGATTAGGGAATATAAATTTCCACCCCCGTTAAACTTTACATTCAATTGGGAAGATCAACAAGGGTATTCGGGAATATAAATTCCCGCCCCCTTTAAACTTTACATTCAATTGGGAAGATCAACAAGGGGATTAGGGAATATAAATTCCCACCCCCGTTAAACTTTGCATTCAATTGGGGAGATCAACAAGGGGATTAGGGAATATAAATTCCCACCCCCGTTAAACGTTACAGTCAATTGGGAAGATCAACAAGGGTATTCAGGAATATAAATTCCCACCCCCGTTAAACTTTACATTCAATTGGGAAGATCAACAAGGGGATTAGGGAATATAAATTTCCACCCCCGTTAAACGTTACATTCAATTGGGAAGATCAACAAGGGGATTAGGAAATATAAATTCCCACCCCCGTCAAACTTTACATTCAATTTGGAGGATCAACAAGGGTATTCGGGAATATAAATTCCCACCCCCGTTAAACTTTACATTCAATTGGGAAGATCAACAAGGGTATTCGGGAATATAAATTCCCACCCCCGTTAAACTTTACATTCAATTGGGAAGATCAACAAGGGGATTAGGGAATATGAATACCCACCCCTGTTAAACTTTACATTCAATTGGGAAGATCAACAAGGGGATTCGGGAATATAAATTCCCACCCCCGTTAAACTTTACATTCAATTGGGAAGATCAACAAGGGGGTTAAGGAATATAAATTTCCACCCGCGTTAAACTTTACATTCAATTGGGAAGATCAACAAGGGGATTAGGGAATATAAATTTCCACCCCCGTTAAACTTTATATTCAATTGGGAAGATCAACAACAAGGGTATTCGGGAATATAAATTCCCACCCCCGCTAAACTTTATATTCAATTGGGAAGATCATCAAGGGTATTCGGGAATATAAATTCCCACCCCCGTTAAACTTTACATTCAATTGGGAAGATCAACAAGGGGATTAGGGAATAGAAATTCCCACCCCCGTCAAACTTCACATTCAATTGGGAAGATCAACAAGGGGATTAGGGAATATAGATTCCCACCCCCGTTAAACTTTACATTCAATTGGGAAGATCAACAAGGGGATTAGGGAATATAAATTCCCACCCCCGTTAAACTTTACATTCAATTGGGAAGATCAACAAGGGTATTCGGGAATATAAATTCCCACCCCCGTTAAACTTTACATTCAATTGGGAAGATCAACAAGGGGATTAGGGAATATGAATACCCACCCCTGTTAAACTTTACATTCAATTGGGAAGATCAACAAGGGTATTCGGGAATATAAATTCCCACCCCCGTTAAACTTTACATTCAATTGGGAAGATCAACAAGGGAATTAGGGAATATAAATTCCCACCCCCGTCAAACTTTACATTCAATTGGGAAGATCAACAAGGGGATTAGGGAATATAAATTCCCACCCCCGTCAAACTTTACATTCAATTGGGAAGGTCAACAAGGGTTTCTGGGTCCCGTGATTCTGGGCCTCCGCAAATCAGTTTGGCTCATAAGGATTCCGGTGTCTCAAACATGGAGTGGTTACAGGTGGATCATAGCTGTCGGAAAATCATCCGATTATATCTCGATGCGAAGAGCAATGATGTGCTCAACACCACGTGCTGGTGTGAAGATCCAGTGTGTATGATGTTGTGTCTCGGCAAAGCAAATGGTCAATCACTCTGGGGCAGCCACCTCTGTGCATTCATGGTAGTTGACATGCTAGAATATTGAATGTTGCGTTTGTCAGCTACAGTATAGAAAAGATACTTGTTTCCTTCCATTTCTGGCTCTGCTGAGGCTTGCCGACGAGTTCGCCAAGGACAAGGACCTGAAACCCAAAACAGAGCCCAAGAGGCGGGTTGACCGCGCCCGCTTCCGAATCCCTAAGTAGAGACATGGGCAATGGCGGAAAAAAAGTGGCTCGGCATGTGAAGTTGAGCAAGAGCAATCGGGACAAGAATCCTTTCGCAAAGAAGGTGTCCCAAAACAAAGCCTTCAAGAAAAGGCACGGCATCAAATACTTGGGAGCGACAGATGCTATGCCTGACAGTCTCAAGTTGGCAGATCTTGACATTCCTCCATATGAACACATTGTCAACATGTCAGAGGAAAATGCCCGCCGATTCCTGATCCAACATGGAGTCCTTCCTCACAACCGACACCGTTTGGCGCTCAGGTGCTGGGGATGTCAGGCTGAAATGGTCAAGCAAGTCAAAGGCTGGCGCTGTCCTTCTGGCAGGCAGTGTAAGGTGCGGGCACGCATCGAAAATGCTGATTTGATTTGGACACCTTTTGCAACCTACAATAAAGGACCGGGTTTGGGAAACAAGCCTTCCTACAAAGGTTTCCTGAGATCGGCTTATACATTGGGTTTGAAAATGTCGGCTAATCAGGCAGCTCATGTTACCAGGACAGAAAACATCACCCATAAGGCGCAAATGAAGCGCCTCGAGCACTACAATCGCTGGCATCGAATCGTTTTGGCCTTCAGTGAGTACAAGCACGCTCAGGAGCATCGCTTCCCCACGGAGGTCATCGAGTGCGACACTGCTCGTTTTGGGACAACTAGATGTTCAGACGGCGCTCGGATGCACAGGCTGTACTTTGGTTTTGGAAGGTCGTCAAAGCAAGCAATGGACTTGCCAGCCCTTGCCGCCGAAGATTAGTTACGGCAAGAGAGGTATGGGCCCAGAAACCATCTCAGAAGCTCGTCCTGAGTCGTCCTGCCATTCAGTCGCAAACTCCATTAACAGCGTTGCTAGGCGTTGACGGTGTAAAAGCCTGGCCTGCCGCCGCGGGTCCGCGTGTGATCTTAGGAGCAGTCAATCATCAAAAGAAGGTGTTCACTCCAGCAAGTGCTGTCTGGAAAGAAGAAGGGGGCTGCTTCCTACAAACAACATTATGTACCGAGTTGCTGGAGGAGACAACGCCGTAGAGGGGACATTTGGAATGATCTCCAACTGTCTCCGCAAAACCAATTCCAGAGGAAGAAATGCCAAATCCAAGACCCGGACCTTGCTGGCACAGTCTGCGGCCGCCCTTGTGAGACGACCTGGAGTAAACAACATCCTCTCAGCCTCTCAGCTTACAAGACGTACAGGGAAGCTCTGCTTACAGGACCCCTGGGCCTCAGTCCGCAGCAAGCGTTCAAACTGGAGAAGTTGACGTGGCTGATTCCCACAGAAGAAGAGGAGCGAGACACGGAGACTTAGAGTCTTGCACGCTTTGCTATGATACCAAAAAAAGAGATGTGCTTGCGGCAGAGGATGGTGATGATGATGATGATGATGTTGATGCTGTTGTTGTTGTTGTTGCTGTTGCTGTTGCTGTTGCTGTTGGTGTTGTTGTTGTTGTTGTTGCTGTTGTTGTTGTTGTTGTGGTTGTTGTTGTTGTTGCTGTTGTTGTTGCTGCTGCAACATTCAACGCACAGGTAGCTAAGCTGTGCGTTGCAAGATGAAAGCCATGATCGTGGACATGTGCATTTTGTCCCACAAAACATAGTGTTTTTTGATGCTCGGACATGTCATCAACGTCGGCGTGGGCAAACTGAGGTGTTTTACCGTAACCATACCACATACAAATGGTGATTTCGGGGATGGTTTATTATTGTTTTACCCACATTAGATAAATCCATTGGTTAGTCACGGTTAGTCATCATTTTCCCCATTGAGCTATAAGTTGGCGGTAAATCGCAACTTTTAGGGAAAGAACCCCCCTGGTATTGTCTCATGGGACGTAAGGACCCAAGACCAGAGTCTGAGACTACGTACCTAGCCCCACACAGAAGGCACCAGATCTACTTTCTTTGGATAGTTATTGTCATGGATAAGTATGGCAGTATGGCAGGTTTGGTGTTTTGTTACAACTGACAGACATAGATTCCTAATGTATCCTAGCGTCACTACCGATGCTTTGGATGGTGTCACCCCAATCTCCCTGGCCAACTTCAGCCACTTTTTGGGACAGCCAAGCAGAAACAGAAACAGCCACCATCTCCTTTGTTTTGACATTAGTTTTGGAAGTGAAACATCACTGGAATTTGGGAGTCATTTTACGGATGCCCACCGGCCGATTGAAGCTTGCCGATTTCGGCTGCGCAAGCCAGGTGCCGGAGCATGGACTCTTTTTTGGTAGAGCCGGCTCCTTCAAGAGCTGGGCACCTGAGGTCCATGCACTCTCCAGCGGCTACAACGCTGGCTACGGTGGAAAGAGCGCAGACATTTGGTCCGGTGGCATTTGCTCCCATGAGCTGATTTGTGGGCGGTACCCCTTTCGAGGGAGGACACCGCGGGAAACCAGGCAGGGTATAACCACCAACCAGATGAAGAACAAGATATTAGCTGGGCCAGATCCAGCAGATCGGCCAGATCCAGCAGATCCTGACCTGAATGGGTCTCGTTTTCGAGGCATCCTGGAATGAGTTTGAGGAATAACAACCGCACACACACACACACACATGGGTCCCCGGAGAAATTGCAAAATCACTTGCATCCTGAGAATGACATGTTGTTTGAATACCCCCATGGACAAACCATGACAAAGCAAGTTTTGTCCAGTGATTCAGGCTGATCCCTTTATCATGATTCATGGCCTGAAGCCCTAAGAATATTCATCCCCAACGCTCCATGGTGTTGGAATATGTACCAAATTGATCCAAATTGTACCAACATTTACCCAATGTGCACATCTATATCTGTTTTTTTTCCGCATCAGATCCCCACAAAAAGGGAGAGCGGTTGAAAGTTGAACATCTCCATATCCGTATCCCCATCCTGGGGTCCTCAGGCGTTTGGAAGACTCCTTCGCGACAGACTTTTCAGGTGCCTTCGGAGCGCTGATATCAAAATAGCAGCCCCCAAGAAGATCGAAAAGTCGAATCCTACACATGTTTCATAAATGGCCATTTATAGCTACTGAAAATGAAACATAGCTATTGAAAATGTGTAGGAATTGACTTTTCAAGTGATTACCCTCTGGTAATTTAACATAGCTATTTAAAATAACCATTTGTAGTTGATTTACCCACTAAAAATGGTGATTTTCAACAGCTGTGTTAGTTTACCAGAGGGTAATGAAAAACGTGTGTAGGATTTGATAATCACTGGTCAAAGTATGTTTCAATGTTTTTGCCGGAGTGCTAAGACCATCTAAAACCCAATCGCCACCCTTTCTGATGTATTAATACGTTTTCTGTATTCAAACCCGGGGGACATTTCACTGCCCCTTTTGTATCTTTGGTAAGTTAGGTGAGGACAAGTTCACTAAACATATTGAATTTCCAGAAACAAGTAAATCTATCACGTTTCCAAACATTAGTGAACATGCTGTTACCATCGTGTTTTTTTCATTCACGGTCTTCATTTTTTCGTGTGCCTGTCATGCTAACATGTTTTTCAAGTATCCAGATCCCAAGTTGAAGTCATCGTTACCCCCGGTTGGTGTGGAGGTGGCCCCAGCTGTGGCCACCCATGGCTCGTCATGGACGCCCTCATGGACAGGATCTCACCGGAACTGGAGGTATGTTCTCAGCAGAAACGCCGATCGGCGGATCAAAGGACATGATGCTGGTTGGTGGTTTCAAACATGGTTTCTATTTTCCATAATATATGGGATAATCGTTCCCATTGACTAGTATTTTTCAAGATGGTTAAAACCACTAACCAGGATGTATGATGAGTGCGCACAAGCAGCATTCTGCATGGCGCTCATTCGGCTCGGGAGTGGGCGCTTCAACGGGCTACGTCCTGTGCCAGATTGCCAGGCTGTGAGCAGCTCAGACCTGACTTTGCAGCGTGCCCAGCATATGAACTTGTGGGAGGTCAGGGAGTCTGACTCAAAGCATGTATGAGACAAATACCTCTGGTCAATCAAGTTGAAACTGTGAAACATATGATGATATGCTTATGATATTACAGGGAATTCCCTTGTTTATTAATGTTTATTTTGGCCAACACCTGATATTCGTTGATTTATCATGGTTCATAACAGCCAAGCGTGCTTCTGAACGGCCTTGACATTGCAATGAATGATTTTTTTCAATGATGGTCCTATGCTTTGGTCCCAAGATGCGGCGGAACCCCCCAAAAAAGCTGTTTGACGGCAAATACCAAATCTGTGGATTAACCCAAATTGCGGATGATATGCGAAACAATAAAGATACTAGTTTAAAATGTCCAGCATTAGCCTCAGTTAATCTGTACCGTATTATTTCACATTATTACACCTGTTCAGAAAAAGGAAACCAACTTAGCTACCCAGAGGCTTCCTTTTGTACATTTTCTCCAGTTGATATTATAGCCAACTGAGATAATGGTTTACTCCGTTGAAACACCATGCTTGACAAGCCATTCATTCGGCTGATTTTTCTTAAAGTGGAGGTACCCAAACATCATCCAAGTCCGTAGTCCAGTATCATTGCAACTTCGCGGTATTTTACCGAAGATCGCCTGTTTGGAGAAACACCCCTCATGGTTTTGTTGAAGAACAGGCTCCAAACAATTATCATCATCATCATCATCATCATCATCATCATCATTATCATCCATCACCATCACCATCACAATCATCATCATCATCATCATCATCACCATCATCATCATCGCAATCACCATCATCATCATCATCATCCATCATCATCATCATCATCATCATCAGTTTGCTCAATCAAAAATGACTTAAATAATCTACTATAATCTTATAGAGACATTTTCCCCAAACGAAATGACTTAGAATGACCAGTAGCTGTGGGTAATCCTCCTGATCTCCACCGCCAGATCGCCTGTCCTCGGAGCTGGGCTCCTCTGTCGAGGTGAAGGTGCGGAATCCCAGTCATGTGGCTACAACCAAAGATCAACATATAAATGAAAACTATAAACGTATATATACATACATATATATATAATATATATATATATATATATAATATAATATATATATATACCTGCACCGCCCAGTGGTACAGATAAATGTGTACTTTTAGGGTGTTTGGTACACTTTTTTGGTGTGGCTAATAATGGCTACGTTTTGTGCCGTTTTCAGTTTTGCCAGCCCCTTCCCAACTTCTGCTCAAACATATACGTCCAAATCAGCCCTGTTGGCAAGCATGTGGATGGGTTTGAAGCCTAGTTGGCCTATAGTTACTTTCACAATGCGTTTGTTGAAAGATGACATGGTCACAGATGATGTGACCGACATGCAGCGATTAATATGTGCCAAATATCCCCGTACCCCATATATAGCTTTACCATGATTTACCTCAATCAAAGAGCAAGGCTGCTGCGCACGATATTGAAGACGTTCTTGTTTCCATGCATGACTGGATACATGACTTATCTTTCAGATGGTTGCATCTGATTCCTCCCCCAGGATAAAAATCGTTTTTTTCCGCTCGCTGTGAAATGTTTGAAGCCCTGCGAATGGGTAACTCATGGCACAACGCACATGTTTGATGCATGGGACTATCTGTGGAAACACCTCATGGCAAAATTAGCCGGCCTGTGGCATGGCTGTGCATGACAAAGTTTGACCGCGAACTCTGGGAAACACGGTCAGGTTGACGTTTGCTTGATGAAAAATGGTGCCTTGCATATCCCCCTTGGAATTTCCTCTAAAGAATAAGACAACCCGGGTTGTCAGTTTTTGCTTGATTTTTTAGTGAATTAACTTTGCCTGTTTGCATGGGGGCGCGTTCTCTATGAAGGCCACCCGGGTATGATTCTTTAGAAAACTTTGTTCTAAAATGACCTTGTCAATTTCATACGGGAGAATGTCTACAACTCAAAAAACGGGTGTTCTAATTCTTTAGGCATTTTTTTGGCACTCTCAAGGGGTGCAACCGGGTATGATTCTTTAAGCCTCTGGCATTAGGGTGGCCAACTGGGTTTGATTCTTTAAGCACTGTACCAGGTGCCTGTACATAAGGATCCCCATTCTTTAAAGATATTTTTTGGTGGCACAGGGCGTCCCTTTAAAGAATCTGAACGCCCGGGTTAGGGACGTAATTCAAAGGGGGATCCTTGCATTAGATCGGCTTTGGCATGCATGATGTTGACATGTTGCGCCTGATATTATCCAAGTGTCTTGCGCGAAACGGGTGCGAAAACGCGCGAAACAGTCGCAAAAAAGCGCGAAACGTGCGCGGAAAAAAAAGTATACCACTTGACCCTCTTGTTTTGACTGTCATGACGTGTCGCGTGTTTCCGAAGACCCTTTTTGCGCATGGTCCGAACAGAAGGCATGGTCCGAAGAGAAGGTCTGGGGGGGTGCGCATGTTTCTGGATTTTGTCGCGTGTAGTGTTCATGTTATATGTGTTATGTATTTGCTTGTTGTGACTGTGGTGTTTTTGTGTTGAATGTTGAACGCCCTGCATGAGGATTCTTCGTGTGAAGAAAATAATGCCCGACTGCTGATGCGGTGTTGTGAAAATTGCGCTATAGCTGAAGGTTGTTTGCTGGAGGTATCTTGGCCTATGAAAAACATACGTGATGTTGAGGTGGATACTTTAGATTTACCCTGTCCAAAGCTCGGTTGTTTACATGTGCTGCGATGCAACCCATGTTGTCAAGCGTGGCTGTTCGAGGTCGTATTTGGCATGCTGCACATGCATTAGCCCGTGACAAAAGTGTCCTATCGAGCCTATGGTGAAAGAATCAGGTTGATTTCTATGGGGAGCCATGGAACTCCGGACTCGGACACCTTTTTTTTCAGAAACCTAAACGGGCACATTTTTGAAATCGGGCAGAAAAAAATGTACACATTTTTGTGTACCAATGGGAGGTTCAGGTATATATATATATATGTAGATAGACAGAGATCTGAAATAAATAAACAGACTATAGGTAGTTTGTTTTTTTAATATATATATATATATATATATACATCAATCCCAATGGGAATTAACAATAATAAATCATTATTAGCAATGATTCACCGGAGTACTGTATGTTTTTCCGAGATATTCATACGATAATTAATGCGACAACAATGGATTTTTACCCTTTTGTGTCCTGGAAAATCCCTGAACTAACTATCTACATGTAAACGGAGTTGGTTTAGGTTCAATGGGACAATCAACAAAGTAAATGGTTGATTTTCCAGCCAACCATGTGACTGATTACCATAATAGGGCAACAACACATTAACCCCAATTAAGGGTGGTTGATTGCGTTTACCTCATTGCACCAAATTTGCCATGTTCAGTATGTTCAGTAGGAAATTGTTAATGACTATGGGAGTTCGAGGTACCTATTCTCGAGCAAACCCATATGATTTGTTTGGGGTGATATGGCCATGGGATATAAACACTTTATGGGGGACAGAACTGACTAACAATCTGATTTGGGTGTGTCTGAAAATGATGTGTTTGTAACGCCAATATATGGCCATTGAGCACGAAAAACCTGACTTTTGCACAAATCCGG